CCCCCCCCCCCCCCCCCCCCCAGTTGTTATATATGGAACGGCCACCCTATGGTAGCGTGTTCTTTGTATTGTTACTTATTATTCCTTCTCTCTTCCTCTTCCTCTTCCTCTTCTTACCCTCTCCAAATTCTATTTCTTGGTCACTTCCAGAATTATATAACAATAATCTATGGAAAATGATGATCTGAAATCGGAGGATCAGATGGAGATTATGATGATGATGCAACAAATGGAGAAAATCCCTGAATTTTACAATCATCTCTCACCGCCCTCCGATCATTTCAGCTCAAGCACCACCGACCCACATTGCCTGGAAACCCTTCAACAAGCCGCGGAGTCCTCGTCGCCTCCATTCACCAACAACCTACCTTATAATTTGCCTCAAACTGTTCCATTCCCCACCAGTTCACGGTGGCGAAACTCTGGCGGTGAAACGGACTTGCAGAAACAGAGGTCTGTGGCGGCGATGAGGGAGATGATATTCCGAATAGCAGTGATGCAACCAATCCAAATAGACCCAGAAGCGGTGAAGCCACCAAAGAGGAGGAACGTCAAGATTTCAACCGACCCACAAAGCGTAGCGGCTCGACATAGAAGAGAGAGAATTAGCGAGAGAATTAGGATACTCCAAAGATTGGTCCCTGGAGGTACCAAAATGGATACCGCTTCTATGTTGGATGAGGCTATACATTACGTAAAATTCTTGAAGACCCAAGTGCAATCCCTCGAAAGAGCCGCCACCAACAGGCCACTCCCTGATGCTGCTGCAGCAGCAGCAGCAGCAGCAGCACCTGGCGTAGGGTTTCCTCTGGAAATGTCAAGTGGCAGCTATGTCCCCATGGCCAAACCATCCCAAATGACTCACAACCTTGAGCAGTACGGAGATGCTTAATTATCCTAAAAAAAAAAAATAGTCTAATAAGAAATAGAAATTCAGGGCTATCAAAATTGAAGCCCTCTGCTCTCTCTCTCTCTCTCTCTCTCCCTCTGCGTTATATCGCTAACTGAAGACTCCTTTGCCTAAAACTGAATAAAATTGATGCATGCTTTGTTCTTCCACTTCGAAGTTTGAGGATTCTTTGTTGAATCAGAGATGCAAGAAAATCTCTCCTCTCTTACATGTCTGTTGGAAGAAAGATCTAAGGAGACAATTAACTGTATGGATTTTGTCTGTTTCTCATACAATCTTGTACTACTATTGATCACCCAAATTAATGTAAAATCAAGGTAAGCGGATGATTGGAACGCAGACAGCTCTGTTATACCATGTTTAATTCAATCACATCAAAATTGGAATCGGAAGGGATCGTGTGTATATATATAGATGCATGGAAGGGATGAAATGACGGTGGGTGAGTTTATGAGGGGGCGCAGCAGGCGGTGGAGGAGGAGAGGAGCAGAAGGGAAACTTCACGTGAAAATCTGACATGCATTTTTGGCGATTTGACAACGGCGCGGTGGATGTCCTTTTGTCTTTCAACCCACCAAGTTAGCTCAATCTAGACACTTCCCCAAACCATCAAATACATTCCCTCCGACCGCCGCGTCCCATCACCCTTCCTTTCTAACTCCCTCCAAAATAACCCTTCGCTCTAATATCGATATCAATTTGTAGAAATAAACGTTCGCTTTAAAATTAATTTATTAAACTAACCCTCACATGGCTGTGAAAACATGTCTAGCGGAGAGAGACAAGTAGACAAAAGAAATTATGAAAAACCCTTCTTCTATTAGGCTACTTTTTAACTCGATAACTTTTGCTCTGTTCTTCTCTCTTCTGGCTTTTTACCGAGGAAAACATATTAATTTATAGATTTTCTAAAATCTAAAATTGGCTATCTCATAACCCACTCTCCCCTAGAATTCTTATTTGTTCTCTTCCTACCCCTCAACTTCAAAAACCTTACTAAAATTAACAAAATTTATATATATTTTTTATTATTCCCGACCATCACAAAATTAATCATAAACTATTATTATTATTCCTTACTTTACATAATTTGAAATTTTATCATTTATAAAACTAAATTAAAATAAAAAACAATAATGAGTTATTTAAATAATAAGTTTGGTACATAAAAAAATTAAATTACATTAAATAAGAGGGGAAAAAAGTCTAAAGAAAGCCGAAATAGTTTCCCACGAACTCAACACTACAACAAAGTCCAGAGGGATTTAAAACTATTAAATAGTTTCCCACAAAGTCAAGGCTTTAAATAATTATGGCATGCATGGTTTAAAAATATTTGTTTCTTGGATCAACCAGTTGGCCTGGGTGTTGGCTTTCTAGACAAGGCGGAAGATGGCACATATAAGCAGCTAAGCAACCCCCCGCCCTAGTGCGCCATTTACACATATAAACCAAACAATGGGTATGGGTTCCAAACAGAATGAATTCAGTGAGGATTATCTGATACTGAAGCCAAAGGAAGCATCTCTGGTGGATGTGTTTCTGTTCATACTTCCTTTAGGATCCAGAAGGATCAGAAGCTTGATCGATTGCCCCGACGCCAAGGAAGAGTCATACAGCAGCTTCAAAGCCCGATGTACCATTTTCGTCTCTATTTTGGTGCAGAAATTCCTGCTCGCCCTCGCCGCCCCGCTCCTGACCTTACGCGCATTCCTCTCAGTTATTCAACCCCTTTTCTTCAACTATATGATTGGTACGTACATTTTAAACTAACTTCAACCCAATTTCGGCTCCTGTTTATTGCATTTCATTTATTTTGATTATAAATAAGATAACTTTCACACCATTTAAGTGCGGTGGATTAATCAAACATTCTTAATTGTGGCATACAGGAAAGGGTGAGTTCTATACCAGGTCGGATTCCGGACCGGAGGTGAGATGTCGAGACTGGCAAATAGAGGATCCGGACGACAAGGGTTTCAAATATTATGGAGCCTTAACCATGATGGCTTCCCAATTGGCGTATGAAGATTATACAGCTTCCCCCTCCGTTGTTCATTCAGTGGTAAATGGTTGCTGGCAGGTAAACATATCCGTACCCATTGTTGAGAAACATTTGGGGATTACGACAACAGATGGATGATGTTTTTCTTTGCCTTTTCAACTGCAGATGACTTTACTTGGATGCTTCAATTTTTGGAACGGTATCACATTTTTTTTCCTTCTAATTTTCCAACAAAATATAAAATTAAGATCAAGAATAGATTTGACTTTTAATATTTAATGGTCTTATTCTTATCATACCTCTCTTATTAAAAACTAAAAACAACCATGTGGTAATAAAATAATATATAATATTATTAATATTAATTGGAGAAAGGAAGGAAGGAGTGGTAGCGAGAATGCTGAGCCCAAAAAGAGTGGACTTTGAGAGGAAGTCAGTGCTTACATTTCTAACTCATCCCAAATTGAGGTAAAGTTCTAATTTTTATTTTTTCATTGAACTTGTTTAGACTTTCAGAATAAAGCAACGACTGGTGCATTTATGTTTCAAAACACAGCGAAAGACCCGAATGTAACAGTTGTGGCATTTAGAGGGACTTCCGTATTTGAGGCTTCGGATTGGATGGTAGATTTCAACATCTCTTGGTACAAAATAGAGGGCATTGGGCGCATCCACAGTGGGTTCATGCAGGCCCTTGGCCTCCAAAAGGCTACCGGCTGGCCCAAAGAGCTCCCTGAAGCCGAACATGAGTTCGCATACTACACATTACGCCGAAGGCTTAGAGACATTGTCAAAAGCAACGATAAGGCGAAATTTATCATCACTGGGCACAGTTTGGGCGGCGCCCTTGCCACCCTTTTTGTCACTTTGCTAGCCCTACACCAGGACTCCACAATTCTCCAGAGGCTCCAAGCTGTTTATACCTTCGGCCAGCCTAGAGTTGGAGACAAAGATTTTGCAGAGTTTATGGTAAACACTGTTACAAGATATGGATTAAAGTATTACAGATATGTCTATTCTTTTGACTTGGTACCTAGAGTGCCTTTCGATTCTATTATTTTTAAGTATAAACACTTCGGTGGATGCCTCTACTTCGATTGCTTCTACAACGGCAAGGTAACGACCTCTAACCATAATTTTCTTTTGTTTTTTCAAAAAATTATTCAATAAAGTGACCATCTCTTATGTGTTTTATTATGTGCAGTTTCGTAAGGAGCAGCCCAACACAAACTACTTCTCGCTAATTTGGGTGATACCAAAATATTCAAGTGCACATTGGGAGCTTATAAGTAGTCTAATAATAATCCCAGTTTTCAAGGGTAGGGAATACTTTGAGGGATTTGTTACGACACTGGAAAGGGTGGTTGGATTGTTCTTTCCAGGACTATCAGCTCATATATGTCCAAATTATGTTAACGTGACTCGTTGGGGGAAAATAAAGGTGCTGCCCGACCGCAACGAAACCTTGAAGCTTGTTCGCTACATCGAAGCCGACACCTAGAAAGCATCAACAAGGTTGAACATCATCAATATTTGTCATAAGACTGTTTGTTTGTTTGTTTGCTTGCTTGCTTGAGGCTCTTTTTACTTTTCATAAAATATGGGTTATTGCAATCTGGAGTTTCTATATGACAATAAACGTATCTATCAATGCCACGTTCAGTTTTGTGGACATATCATTGGACAAATGGTTGTATTCATAGGAGATTTTGGCTGCCATTTAATGAGTCCAAATCTCTTCTCCAATTGAGATGAAAACAAGGCATCGATCTGTGAAGTTCCTGTAAAAATCTTCTTTGCCTGGTGAGCAATCGATGAGAGTCCAACCAGAGTATAAACAAATCTTCTTTGCCTGATGAGCAATCGACAAGGCAAGGTTCATCATCACTGGCCACAGCCTAAGTGGAGCCTTGCCCATCTTATTTGTCACTGTGTTGAGCCTACATGATGAATCAACCGTCCTTGAGAAGTTGGACGCACTTTACACGTATCGCTAGCCCAGAGTTCCTTCTGTGGGCATACGTATAATCATAATGAACATTACTTAGAAGCTATGGCCTTTTATAATTCAAGACCGACCCACCTCGCTCAATACCTCCTTCTGTCTCTCCCATGAAGGAAAAAAGGAGTAAGAAAGAAAGTCCAAGGCTTGCTAGTGAACAACAAGTAATTCAAATATAATACGTCCTGTTCACTGGTTTTGACGGTGAACGCACCCACTTTTTAGATTACTTTCAAGTTTAAGATTGACAAATTCGTCCATTTAAATGTGGAAACTTTAAGTTCAAGATTAAGATAACGTCAAACCATTTCATCTAATCTGTTGACAATCCTCCTCCATATGCATTTTAAGAACTTGTACCCATTGGGATCATGGAAAGCTGACTCGAATGAAGATCATTTGTTTTTAATGAAAAAGTAAAGAGTTTTAATCACTATAAAAATGCAGCAATAATGAAGGGTAGTGTTAAGATTCTGAAACAGACACCATCTTCTTCAACTTTTCAGTAGGGAAGAAGAAGAAGAAGAAGAAGAAGAAGAAGAAAATGGCTTGGAAGGAACATGAATTTAGTAAAAATTATGTGATACTAAAGCCGCATAATGCAAACCTGTTTGATCTGTTTCTGTTCTTACTTCCTTTTGGCTTCAAAAAGAGGAAGTTGATGGATTGTCCCGACGCCAACGAAGACTCTTACACAAGCTTTGCTGATCGATTAATAATCTTCGTCTCGTTGCTGTTGCAGATATTCATTCTCGCCATCGCCACCCCGCTCGCTTACTTAGACGTCTTCCTCCAAAAACTCTTCAACTTCGTCTCCTTCAATGGTGGCATTCCGCGCCTTTTCATCAAGTTGATGCGAGGTATTTCTTACTCACTTTCTCATATGCTTTGTGTTAACCATCAACCAACCTCCCCTCCCAACAATGCTCTTCTCGAACAAAATACACCATATAGCCTCTATTGAAGCCTATGGAACCCTCAAACAACCTCTCCTCCAACAATCCTCTCCTTGAACAAAGTACACCATAGAGCCTCCCTGAAGCCTATGGAGCCCTCGAACAGCCTCCCCTTAATTGAGGCTCAACTCATTCTCTAGAGCCCTCAAACAAAAAACACCCTCCATTCGACAAAACATTTTGACTACACTTTCGAGACTCATAACTTCTTTGTTCGAATCACGGATCTCATTAAGGCATGACTCTGATACCATATTAAGAATCACGGATCTCCGCAATGGTATGATATTCTCTATTATGAGCATAAAAACTCTCGTGGCTTTACTTTTGGTTCCCCAAAAATTCTCATTCCAATGGAAATAGTATTTCTGTCTTTCTTTTAATTAGTCAATGTAGGACTTCTCTCCCAACAATCCTCAACAAGGATATTAATTATGTGCAGGAGAGACTTTGGTGCAGCCTGATAAAAATTCGCCAGATTATACGTCGGTTGTGGGATTTACAGATTGGAGAAGAGATTTGGATAGCTCCATAAAACCTAACGACACCTTCAGATATTATAGTGCCCTAACTGTAATGGCTTCCAAACTGTCCTATGAATCCCTTCCTTTTGTCGAATCCGTCGTGAACGATCGTTGGAAGGTAAACTTGAATACTCCAAACTGTCCTATTAATATACATGGTTGAACATTTTAGCTTTTCTTTGTTTCCTTTTCTCTTGCAGATGAAGTTACTCGGTTACTACGATTTCTGGAATGGTATGGCATTGGATTTATGGTCATAGTTAGAATTTCTTAATTCCATCTTTTTTTTCCTTTTGAGATTGATGGATTAAAATCCGATCCGGAAGTGAGTATCTAATTGAAGTCGGTTATAAAATGTCTAGATTTCCAAAACCGAGCAACGACTCAAGCATTCATGTTTCAAAACACAGCCTCAGATCCAAACATAATAGTGGTAGCTTTCAGAGGGACTTCTCCACTGGACGCATTCGATTGGCAAGTAAATGTGGACTTCTCTTGGTACGACATTCATGGCGTAGGCCGCATTCATAGTGGCTTCATGAAGGCTCTCGGCCTCCAAAAGCGTAAAGGTTGGCCCAAAGAACTCATTCCATCAACAACAACAACAACCCAATTCGCTTACTACACTCTCCGTCAAAAACTCATTGACATTGCCAAAAGCAATGCCGATGCAAGGTTCATCTTCACCGGCCACAGCTTGGGCGCAGCTCTCGCTATCCTCTTCGTTGCCATACTTGGCCTTCACGACGAGTCAACGGTGCTAGAGAAGCTACAGGCCATCTACAGCTACGGCCAGCCGAGAGCTGGTGACCGACATTTTGCAGAGTTTATGGTAAGCATCATCCAAAAATACAACTTTGAATATCACAGATACGTTTATTTTAGTGACTTGGTGCCTAGACTTCCCGCTGATGGCATCATTTTCAAATACAAACACTTCGGCAGCTGCATCTATTTTGACAGTCTTTACAGAGGCAGAGTAAGAACAAAATTTAAGAACCCTCTCTTCCAATTTGTCAAAAAATGAGTTATGAGGAATAATATTGAATGTTGGATACAGATTGTGAAGGAGCAGCCAAACAAGAACTATTTCTCGTTGCTATGGCTGGTGCCCAAGTACCTAAATGCATGGTTGGAGCTTATAAGGAGTTTCGTGATCCCATTTGTGAAGGGTTATGATTACTATGAGAGTTTGCCAATGAAAGGGGTAAGGTTTATTGGACTGTTTATTCCAGGGCTCACCGCTCACATTCCTACGGACTATGTTAATTCCACCCGTTTAGGAAAATTAAACGTACCTCAGGAGATTCTTGGAAATGAAGACTACTGCATAGAACCTGACTACTAAAAAAACCTACGAAGATGAAGATTAACATAAAATTTTCATCTTCCTTTTACTTGCATGTTAGTCTAACGTTCATTTAAATTCGATTGCCTTCTAAAGTAGTAGGCAATGATATCAATGGCCAATTATGATTCTCAATTCCAAAGTAATTTTACCAAACATACTTGTTTATGTAGAAGAAGAAAGTGAAAGTCAAGCTAAAATTATGAGTGGATTAGAAAGATAATCATAAGATGGAAATTCATCAGAATGGATCTCCTACAATCAAGAGACATCCAAATGTATCATATACGCTACATCCCCAATGAACCTTACAGGCTTTCAATACCTTGGTAATTTGAAAGAAAATCCAGACTTGCCTTTCTCTTTTTCTTCTTCTTTTTCTTTTTCTTTTCCTTCTTTTGGTTGGTTGGGAGGATTTTGCAGGGAGAAAGAATGACTAAAGACTTCCCCTTATAGCAGAAAGGTTATCTGGGATATAAACCAGAAATTTCCTTGAGCCGGCCTCAGAAAGCGTGGCAGGTGAAGCAACCACTTAACGAAGTCCGCTGAAGGTTTCTGACAGAAGATATTCCTCCATGAGAAGACCCATCAACTTGGTTCATCTGATTAGCTAGCACGGAGTTCCTCATTTCTTGAGCTTTCTTCTGAGCAGATTTCAACCTTTTTATGATCTTATCCATGGATGATGATCTCTTCTTCTCTAGCTTCATCTGAATTATATTTCCAAATGAGTCACTATACCTTAAATGTCCATACCCCCTCAGAGTAGTGAGAATTTAGATTGCATGCTCATAATTCCCCATGAGAAACAAAAATATCAAGCATGGCAAATTATATAAAAGATCAGCATAACGGTATAACCAAGTAACAATGAGGACTATAACTACAACAACTTCTATGGGAATGAAGCAATAAATTTCAAAAGACAAGTCTCAACATTTAGTGTTACGAAAAGGAATTCACTATATATGGTGAATATATCAGAGAAAAATTGATTGAACCAAAGACAGCCTTTTATAAGGATAAGGAAAACAGTAGATTCTGTAAATTGCAAGCCACATTTCAATATATAGATATATATATATATATGTCAATAATGTAGAAGGTAGAGTTGAAGACTACCTCTAACTTCCTAATAGCAGCCTCAGCTTTTGCCTTCTGAAGATTCTCCCACGCTGTGATCTTTGCCTCCTCTCTCATTACTCTGGTAAAAGAGTGGGGTGGCAACAGTCAATGGTAATGTTATATTATTTTCCGCAGGATACCTTGCTAATTCATAGAATTCTTATCATCAGTTTAATGGCAGTGTGAGTGTCAATCAACACCAAAGTCCCAACCTTCATGTTATGCAGATAGCATATCTTTTGTCTCCCTTTGATGCAATCATTATTTTCTTCAATATTTAAAAGCTCTTCAAAATTCATTTTTATTGTTTTGAAGAGTTTGAGATGCATTATACCATCTTATATCAATATGATTATGTGGAAGAATTTACGTACTTTGAGATACTCCTTGTTGTGTCAGGTACATCCCAAGCACAGATCACAGGCTCTGCATCTTTCTTATGAAATTGACTCTTGCATGGAATCCGGGATTTGTGTCTCTTAGACCACCTAGTCAGGGTAACACGCCCATCAACCTCGACGTCCTTGACTTCTGATTTCGAGTAAGACAGACTCTTTAGCTCCCTAATGGGTTGGACAGAAGAAGTGGCAATAGAGATAGGCGGTCTAATCTCCAAAGATGATTTAAAGTCATCAGCTGGGCTCATTTGGGTCGCCATGTCCCTTCTTGAAACATCACGAGATATACTTTTGGCTG